CCCCCCCCCCCCCCCCCCCCCCCCCCCCCCCCCCCCCCCCCCCTGTGTCTCTGCACGCGTGGTTTCTTGAAACAGAAAGAGAATCGGAGCTACTTCTCTATTCAGCGATTCCTCTAAAGCGCCTCCCACGCAGCGCCCTGAGACGACACGCTGCTCCATCGAGCACCCGGGAGACGGAGCGCGACACCCCGGGCCGAAGCTGAGGGGTGAAGACGGGGAGGTCAAAGGTCTCCAGGAGTCGGCCGCGGAGACCCCGCTTCAGAACCAGTAAGAGCAGCCGGCGGTGCTCGGTGAGAGAATGGGTCATTTGGGTCACGAGAATGCTCTGGACCTTGTTTTCTTAACTAGCACACGAGGGACTGCGAAATCGCACAAAGGAAGTACCTTATTTTACGTCTATTACAAAGGTATGTGGACTCAGATCGTCAGTCATGATCACGACAGGTCAGCGATCTTTCCTGATCCACGACAGGTTTTCCTGTCCTGGGGCAGAATGTCATTTCCTTGCTCCTCCTCCTCCTCCTCTTCTCCGCTGTCTGCTTTTTACCTTTCCTATCTCCTAGCTGACCTCCCGCACAGGTAAGCAGAATGAAAGGGGCAGGCAAGGGAGACCGTGAACGACGTGTTAGGGAGATGTTATTGACAGAAGCCACCTGTTGAGCTTGGGGCCGGCGTGGCGTGGTGCAGCCGTCCGGGATGCCGGAGGTGCCGGGAGAGTGATTCAGGTTTGGCGAGTTTCAGAGCAGGGAGTGTACAGACAGCCCAGCCACTGCTACCGCAGAGAGGACTCTGCCTTTCCCACAGCCTCAGTAGGTCTCTCTCTCTCTCCCTTCCTTCTCTATCTCCTGCTCTCTTTTTGTTTATTTGACACTTGTTTGTTTTTCTTTTTGTGCCCTGCTGTCTTTCACGTTTCGTTATGGGACGTGCCGCTGTCCGGCTGCAGCTCGGTTGAACACGCGTGTCGTTTCCGTGTGCGTGTGCGTGTGTCTGTCAGCACCCTTTAAACTCCCCCCGCCTCCTCCCCTCCCCTCTCTTCCCCTCCCCTGCACACTGGAATGTGAGCCTTATGTCCGTGAGCGGCAGGTACTGCGCCGGGACTCGCGCTAATCGCTCGCTCTCTTTCCCAAGATCTCGCCGGCTTCCTGTTTTCCGGTGCCCCGTGAGACAGCCACGAGGACAGCAGCGGAGGAGGGATCACGACGGTGGCAGAGCGAGGGAGAAGGAGACGCCGGACACGCCTGGGGTAGGCAGACGGGATGCACCTGTTCCGACGCCGTGCACCCACCCACACTCGCTGAAGGACTTCTCGGAAACTCCAGCCGGCTGGCTGGCCCTCCCGGTCCGACGCACGAGGAGGTAAGGAGGGCAGCGAGCCCCAGCCAGCGCGCCTCCAGGGGTGCCGTGGGTATTCCTGTCACTTGGAAACCATCGCTGCGGTTGGGGGCACCTGTGCAGAGGTTTAGTGTTCGGCTTGCGGGGGTGGGGGGGGGCGGGGGGTCGCCTCACGGGGCAAATGTGGGTGTCGTTTCAGCCAAGCTGCCTGCGTGGAGCTTTCTTTGGAAACTGCGTTTCGCAAGCCTCCGGTTGCAGTTCCCCTGGAAGTCGCTGTCATATCTCTACAACCTGCTTTATTTTTTTAAATAAGTGCGTGCGCCGGGGGAGTGTGCAGGCTCAGAGCGTTGACCCAGAACACGGCACCGATGCACCCCCCCCCCATGCCCAACCCAGGGTACTGTATCGTGTGGACGAGGCGTGGAAGGTCCGGTCAGACAGGTCAGAGACAGGATTGCTGGGAGGGCGTGAGATACGGGAATATATAGAGTAACAGTGGGATGCCGGGGGGGAGCTCCCTGTCAGGCAGGTGCGGGGGGAGGGGGGTGTCCGTGATGTAAGCAGGAGCTAGGGAAGGTATCGGATGCGGAGACTGTCTGCTGGCGTTCCATCTGTCCATCCAATCAAGCGTCACCATGGCAGCAACGGCACAATGGCAAACATCGCCATGGAGAACGGAACGCAGAGGTGTCCTTACAGAATTAGCGTCCTTACGGAATTAGCAGTTAGCCTGCCCTCACTATATGTACTTTGATGACTCTGCCTTATGGCAGCCATTGACCCTGATGTGAGTGAAATGCAGTGCCTCTTTACCCCGGGCAGAACTTTGCAGTCCTCCTCATCTGCTAGTCCTGAATGCCGATAGTGATCGGGTACTCTGGGCAAACCAGTTCTGTACCTTCGTTACCCATAAAGAGCCACTAAGCAGCATTTCTTGGAATCGCTGTGCCACATTCCAGGGCCTTTCGGTAAACTGCACTTCAGAAAAATGACGCAGGCTAATGCTAAACGAAGGCAGGTGAATCCATTTTGGGACATTTCTCAGTGAGCTTTTTTTTGTAACGTACGAGCATTGGGCTGTTTGGTGAATGTTGAGTCTAGGTGCCTCAGACTGTCAGTGTGGCTCAGACTCTGTCAGGGGGCCTCAAACTCTGTCAGTGTGGCTCAGACTCTGTCAGGGGGCCTCAAACTCTGTCAGTGTGGCTCAGACTCTGTCAGGGGGCCTCAAACTCTGTCAGTGTGGCTCAGACTCAGTCAGGGGGCCTCAGACTCTGTCAGGGTGTCTCAGGCTAAGTGTAGCTCAGAATCTTCCAGGGTGCCTCATAGTCTGACAGCTGCCTCAGCATGTGTCCATCAGCCCACATGTATGCAGGCTCAACTCATACTGGCTCAGAGGATCAACTGACAGCAGCAGGCCTTCAGATTTTTGCAGTGCACCTTGTTGCCTCTGCTGAGAGGGTCAGTGCTCAGTACCTTGGTGCCTTCAAAGGGCGCCTATGTGCCCATATGAGACCAATCCATCCCAAACCCCCACAGGCAGCTCGTACTACTGTTGAACCGGCCAGGCGGGCCGGGCATCAGCATTTAGTCGGGCCTGGTACCAGCGTTTCCATGCAGGTGGGGGTGAAGCCAGCCCAGGACGGGAGGGCCAGGGAGCTGTCGACACACACCTCCATTTCCAGAGAGGGAGGCGCAAGAACAAAAGCTGAGGGGGCGAGAGGGAGGGAGCGTGCCAAGAAGAAGAGGAGCCCAGCTCAGAGGCAGCTATTAATTTGCGTGGTGAAGCAACATGGTAGGCGTTTAGCTCAGCCACAGGTATCCAGCTCTGCTGGTTTGACTCTTCTGACCTCATACAGTAGCTGTGTTAGGGAATCAACAGTCTGAATCCTACTGGAAAAATCTCAAAGACCCAGACTAGGGAAGCATGTGACATGTCATGTGACTCACCAACATGCATAAATTCCAGTGGCATAGTCAGTTCCAGGAAGTTCCTTGTGGCTCAGTGCACCTGCTGAGTGTTTATTGAAGCTTCTCTGGCCAATGAGGCAAGCATTCCTACAGCCTGAAGCTTAATGGGAGGCAAAAGCTGATGGCACAGGAGGAGATGGTGGTGCCGTGTGTCTTTTTTCCACGTCCTTGGAACGGGAGCACAAACTCGTTAGAAACCTCATACCTGGGCTCCAAAACAGGAACACTATTCATCTGAGGGAGACGGGGCGGAGGGGGAGGGGGAGGTTGAGGCTTGGACAGGCCGGGGGTCCCGTTGCAAAAAACACTGTCTGTAACCCTTTTATGACTAAAAGAGGCTTTCGCTCAACCTGTTTAATTAAGAGAGACTTATTAGGATGAAGCCAGCCTAGACCAAAGGCTCATTTATGAAGGGCACCTTGGAGGATCACGATGGTCCTGGTTATGGCCGCCCGCTGGGGGGAGGGCCCCCCAGGGCTGTGGTGACTAGCTGTCCGCTGAAGCTGCTGACTAATGCTGCCACAGCTTCTCACTTCATATCTTGATCCCGTGACCTCTGTCCGCACCTTGCAGTCCTAGCTGTCCAACCAGCAATGAGATCAGCAAGCAGACAGCTAGGTTGGCCATCTCTCAGGCCAGTAACTCGTTCCCCAGAAATGGGAAGAACCAAACGCAAATTCATGGCATGGCATGGATTACAGAGCAGTGATTCGGTCGGGGGTCCGGTTGCCTGAGACAGAAGGAGGTTCTGTCCCCTCCCCCCCCCCCCCCCCCCCCCCCCATTTTACAGTACCTCTCTTCACATACCTGCAAACAAAGGGGTCCTTGTAGGGAAAGGGGTGGGTTGATTCGGGGTTGACACAGTGACATGGGGGTCTGTATGCACTGCTTGAAGAGGAGGACACCTTTCAGAGTGTTCCTCTCTGTGCTAAAATGTCCAGGTCTGGAATAAATTGCAGTCATAATTTCAGCATCAGTGAATATTTCAGCATCAGTCAAATTTCACAATCAGTCATCATTTCAACGTCAAACATTTCAGTGTCCATCAGTCATCATTTCAACGTCAAACATTTCAGTGTCCATCAGTCATCATTTCAATATCAGTCATAATTTAAACGTCAGTCATGATTCCAGCATCAGTTATTATTTCAGTGTTCGTCAGTCATTTCATTGTCCTCATTTTAGAGTCAGTCATTTTAGAGTCAGTCATTTTATGAGTCAGTCATTTCGGCATCATGGTCACAAGAGGTCTCATTGTAGCGGAATGTCTTCCTTACATAAACACTTAAATCCAGAAAAAGGTCACACACAGCCTCTCACAGGACATAGAGGACAGAAGGCAGGGCAAACCCTACCCAGGAGTCCATCAAAGGCCACATATTCACCCACTATAGACAATTCAGAGGCACCAGTTCATTTAAGTCACTTTTGGATGGTATGAGGAAGTACCTAAGAATACATACAGCCAACAAAAGAGAAACACGATCAGAAGCCTGCTTCTCATTTGTGACATTAGGCGGGTGCCTCACCACCAAACTCAGCCATTGCATGGGCACTAAGAACAGGCTGGCAAGCATTTATTTCTCCTGAGTTTCCGAGTTTACATCCGGGAACACTTGCAGAATAAGCAAAAACAGGTTTTGCCAAAATCAAAAGGTAAGATGTTGATAATCAGGTGCATGCCTACTGGGTGTTATGTCAGAAAGATCTCGCAAGCAGGCTTTGAAACATTATAGAGCTGTACAGCTGCCAGCTGCCATCATCTGTGCCAATTTGACTTCTTGTACAAAGCTTTTGTTTGCAGTTTAGTGTAGCAGTTTGGCAACTGACTGTCCTCTGCAGTCGAAGGCCTGAATTGAAAGTCGCAATACTGCCTTTGCGTTATCTAGCATTCAGAATGAGAGGTGTGTAAGTATACCTTCCTTAAATAATAAAGCGATGTAACTTGACACGTAACGTGATATCGCCCTAACTGTGAAGTACTTGAAAAAACATAACCCAGCTTCTAATGATTTGACAAGTAGGAACGTATTAGAGGTGAGAATGCATCTACGTTTCAGTAGTGCTTCTAACAGGAAATTGTAATGTGGAAAACGGCAAAACAGGATTAGGATAAATTAGGCTTATCGAGAACTTGGAACCGCAAGATTGGGGGGGGGGGAGTGTCTTGGGATGACGTAGCAGTATGTTTCGCATGGAGTGCTTAAACAGGTAGAATGCCATAGAGCAGATGGGCTGGGATGAGCCCAGTGGACCGTCACCACCCTACATCCAGACAGGTACGGCCTGTTCCTGTTGTTTGTCCTTTCCTGGCGTAGATCTTTATCTCCCATACACGCTCCGTGTCCTGCTTATAACTTATCGAGCTGCTCCCTTTCAAAAACGCACCCCTTCCCACCTGGGAATGGTTTGCTCCGCCCTCCGTCTCCCTTCATGACCTTGCTCCTACATTCAGAGGATAAATCCTGGGTCATGGTGACGTTCCGTCAGCTGGCGGGGCTGCTGTTGTCCAGCTTGTGTGACGATGAATCAAAGATTGAGCGTCATTATCAGGTGACGACCTCTAGTTCCAGAAAGGAGGAAGCAGAGGCGAATGTTATTAATAGAGCTGAAGGTCATGGGGTCGGATAAGATGTGTGCTGTACCATTTAAACCCCAGGGAGGGGTTCTGAAGGACGTAGCCGTCGGTGTAAGATTTGTAAGATGTGTGTAAGATTTCCAGTTAAACCAGAGCAGAGACTGAATTATGGGAATGCCACGTAAGCTCTTTCTTTTCTGGCAGAGAGAAACTTATACCTCCGTTCCTGCCACACTTCTGCACGGCATTGTGTCTGAGGAATGTCTTTCTCCACAGAGACTCAACAGTCAGCAATACCAGTATATCGGGGGAGGTGCGTGGCCCCGTGAGTTGGGACTCTGTGCCTCTGATTGGAAGGTTGCTGCCATCGGGCCCCTGGGCAGGGCCCCGAACCCTCGGCACCAGAGGTGCTGCGCACTGGTTGATCCTGCACTGTTAATTCCCCCCCCACCAAGATTGCTGTCACCTGTATATGTGT